TATAACAATACCGTTGAGTCACAGTACTGAAAAAGATTCGTGATGATATTAAGGTTAGGTAGGTTAGGTGGATTAAAAGAAATCTCGTTACACCCGAAATATACAAATATGTACATTTATACGAATAATGTCGAGATGTGTCTCGATATACAGGGTGACGCCGAAATAAGTGGCCGAACTCTGATACCATATTTTACTCTTCCTAAGAATAGAAAAGGGTTATATAAATGTAATAGGTATAATATATCTCTCGTATAACAAAATCTTTATTTTTTTAACCCTCTGTAACGCCACGTGACTTGGAACTTACGTATCCATTTATCTACATTTTATAATTCTCATTTTATTTGTTTATTGCTATACTATCGTATCACATCATTATTATAAATTTCTTTATAATAATTATTAATTTTTGGTTCTCTCATCGACATGTAAAATTCTTCTCACGAACGAAGAAAAATCGGGTTACTGACGGTTAAGCTCGACAATTTTCAAATTTAATTCTCGACCTATCGCTCTTAATTCGATAGTAATAACAATCGTACCATAAAACTTCACAAAAGTGAACTTCTGCTCGTTACCTCAGAGTAATCTGTCAATTTCTGTACTTAATTTACGTTCGCCTCGAATTCATTCAACGACCAACTGATTCTCGAATTCGTGCGAAAGTGAACGTGCCTCAGGTGGCACGAAGGTAACGAATCGAGAGCGAAAGTGCTGGGACAGAAATATAGGGCAGAGCTCTACTAGCCCACTTTTACTGGCCTCAATTTCTCTCACCTAGATCTGATGCCCACGACCAACTTGAGAGTTTCGTTTCGTTTCGTTTTCACTTTCGCTGGCCGCAGCCGTCGTCCTGACCCGACCTAACCGAGATTTCTATTAACCTGGCACGCGATTGTCGAACAGATCTCTCTACGAGGAAACTGGAGTGTCCTGGGTCAGGATCACACTCGCTTTCGCCGCCCATGCCTTCTCTACGCGGCCACTTTCCATTTCCGTCACTTTCGATTGACACTATAATACCCGACCGTTTCCAAACCAAATTCACCGATTTCATATTTTACCGCGATGACTTTGAAATTAATAGAAATTCTCCCCTCTTAACCAGCAGTTTTCAATAATTGAAATTTCACGCATTTTATTCCTTAAATTTCATTTATAACGAGTTAAATAATTGCTCATACAGAAAATGTAATATTATTAGACGGTCATTAATAATTCGGCAAAATATACAAAAATAAAGCTGATCTAATAGTTTGGTTTTCGATATTTTCTTTTGCATTTTTGCAATCCTTGTAGCCTGGAGAATATGTTATGAAGGTTCGAATAATTCAAGACCAAATCTTCGAAGATCTTTAAACGCGGTTTTCTCAAAACAAAGTTTTCCAACACTGTTCCATGGTTTTCTCGGAAACTATTCGATCGATTACTTTCCCCTTTACACTGCGTACTCAGAATATCTATCTCTATCGTTCTAATCAAAATCATATCAATATTTTCCAAATTTCACTCCTTTCGGCACCTAAAACTTACTTAAAGTTAATCCTCGTGAAGTGAGATAAATTTAATTCATTTAAGTGTAACACGCGTCAGAATGTTATGTTTTAATTCGAACGAAGAACAAGATTCTCGCTTAGCACCTGTGTTATTGCAACCTGCTATGCAGCGAAATCTATGGTATTCAATGAATTCTGGATAGAAAAAAACGTAGTCTTCTAATTATAAACCATCATAGTATTGAACCACGATAATGTTATACATAAAATTTAGTATAAATAATAACATTACATACTTTGATTTAACATTCATTGCCACCATACTAGTATAGCTGTGGAAACTTACAAGAGAAACGCAAATATTTTCATAAGGTAGGATTAAACTCTAAGAAACAAACGACTCTGATTATGTTATGATTGCCGTCAGAGAATATGCATTCCACTTACAATACAGCGTAACAAGTGTACGTTTTACGCTTCAAAGATTCAGATGTGATCCCTGTATATGTGTTGTAATAAATTGTATTTATTGTTCGATCCCCCGTGTTATTTAGAATTTATATTGCAAGATTTTTGGATGCCTTTTTTAATGCGCAACCATCATTTACTCTACGTCAGAGTATTACACGAGGAATGAGACGAATCACTGTAATAATAGTCGTAAATTGTACCATAAGACGCGATAAGGAATATTTATCGGGCGGTAACTATATAAAAGCATCTTGGAAAATTTGGTTCAGTTAAATCGAAATGTAACAACGTATCGTCGAGTATAAGTGTGTCTAATAAAAGGTTCACAGAATGAAAGGTAATGCTTACAATGGGAAATTAAATATCGTTCGGTCACTGCAACAGATGTTATAAATCAACAGAAAATTCTATGATTAGAAAATTTTGTAATTAGAAATTTCTATTTATAATTACGAATTAAGGAATCTTCATTTTTCTCTATATTTATATTCTGTCTTAACACATTGTTGACCGGCAATTTTACGCAGAAGCTATCTCATGTCACCGGCTATTATTTCGTAATTGAATGTGGAAGTGAAACAATCTAAATAAACTTCAATAAACTTTATTTATACATAATGAATTGAAATGAAACTTTGGACATATGTATCTTTTATATAACTTTTAATATAAAAGAAAAGCAAGAAGTGAAAGCAAATTCTTAAATCGAAAAACTACGATTGCCGTAGTGTTATAAAGTTACTGCTATTACGAAACGAACTAACGGCTCCCGAGACTAATTACAAAGGCGAAAATATATACAATAGAAATACATGTTGACAAATTCCAAGGGTTGGGCGGCAGGTATACCCATCGCGGACTAAACAAGTAGAATTGTGATGAAAACCTAAATACCAAGAAAAGTATTTTTTTTAGAATAAAGCGGACACGACTAAACACGATGAACAAAGCTTCTGCAATATTCTATATTGCCCTGCGTTTCAAAAATTGAAATAGCTAATGCAAGTGCAAACACGAGTTAACTCGTGACCGGTCAACAACGTTTGGGCATGAAAACACGAGTTAACTCGTGACCGGTCAACAATGTGTTAAATATGTTAATTCAAATTTGTATTATACCGATTGAGATGAATGTTGCATGATTCGAAGGGAAGCACATAGTCCACTATTTGACATTTTCTTATCGCTATTATCACAGATTTCAATGTCATCTTCAATTTTTTAAATGAAAGCCAAATTTTTTATTACAACGAAAGTTGTGTATAACTTTCTTGATAGAAAAAAATTTAATTTCCATTTAAAAAATAGAAGATTACCTTGAAATTTGGACAAACAAGTGATAAGAAAATATGGAATACATAGTGCACTATGTAGCCCCCTTCAAACCATGCAACATTCATCGGAAATAATTGTCGCCGAAATTATCACTTACGAAGTTATCAAATGGTTAATTACATAAATCACCCTGTATTTTGCAAAACAAAGTTAGTAATTCTTAAAGAATTAGGTTTTATCATATTGTTACATAGATGGTAGAAATATGAAAATTTTTATTTATTGAACCGTATTACTAATTTAATATTAAGGATAGTAACACATAATTATTTTTAATAGGCATCATCAATGTTTTGCTTGCCTTCTCTGTCGTTTATATCTACGCCGCTCCTTTCGAAAAATCGAAATGGTTGTCTATGGTGGAAGAGTTACAAAAGGAATTGAACTTACAGAAGGAATTATCACTTGCTTGGCCTAACAATTTGAATAGTGCAGAAAGTACGCCAAACGTTGCCTATCTACAATGGTTATTGAGAAACGCAAAACATCGTGTCGAGAATAGTAGCGACGAAAGCGACAAGAAGAAACTTCAGGAACTGTTGAAATTGCTAAGATTAAAAAACAAATCTGACTCTTCTGACAGCAGTTCCGATTCTGAGGTAAGAAAACCAATTTTACATGGCAAGAAGAATTCCCATGAAAAAAATTCCAACGAGGAAGAGTCTACGGAGAAAAGGTCTGATGAACTAAGTACTAGTAAGAGGAATTCTGATGAGAAAAGTTCTCGAGAAAAAGATTCCAGAAAATGGAATTCTGATGAAAATTATAGTCGCAAAAAGGCTCCTCGGAAGGAGGATTCGTCTGAGTCATCAAAAGACGAAGACGACTCGAGTTCCTCCGACAAATCAAAGAACAGACATCTGAAACGTCGTGATGAATGCAGAAACAATGACAGTGAACGCGATTCGAAGGAAGACGAGTCTAACGAAGAGGAATTCAAGGAATACTTGAAGGATGCATTGGACAAGCGAGAAAATGTCAAAGAAATAAAGAATATGCTCATAAATCATAAAATTCACAAACATCGCAACTTATCGAAGGCACAAATTTACTATCACAAATTGTACAAATGGAACAGAGACAAGTATTTGGAATGGAAGAAAAAAATAGAGTTGAAGAACGAACTATTGTCTGAAAAGGACAATTTAAGCAGAGAAGAATTAAAACGTATATGTAATATTCCGGAAAAGGCTGGGCGTGAAGAACAAGAAGATCAGATAAAACAATGCGTGAAGAACCATATGTCTACGAATGATATATTTAAAATCACCACAAACTTGTTGTTACAAGAAGAGCCACAACCAAGTGAACAAACAACAGCTACTTCTCAAACTGAAGGTTCTAGTGCACCACAAACAAATCCAGTACATAAAATATACAATTCCAGAATTAAATTGGCTGTTGTCAATACTAGTAATAATGCATCAAGTACCTCAAAGGCAACAAGAACACCCAGTACTGGAACTTCTAGAGAACACACACAATCTAGTGGTAGTCGACCAACCACATGGTCAAGCAAACAAACGCCAACTGCCACTGAAAGTAGAGGTCCTGGTACACGACCAACCAAGCCAGTAACTGAAATATACAATTCCAGAATTAAATTGGCTGTTGTCAATACTAGTAATAATGCATCAAGTACCTCAAAGGCAACAAGAACACCCAGTACTGGAACTTCTAGAGAACACACACAATCTAGTGGTAGTCGACCAACCACATGGTCAAGCAAACAAACGCCAACTGCCACTGAAAGTAGAGGTCCTGGTACACGACCAACCAAGCCAGTAACTGAAATATACAATTCCAGAATTAAATTGGCTGTTGTCAATACTAGTAATAATGCATCAAGTACCTCAAAGGCAACAAGAACACCCAGTACTGGAACTTCTAGAGAACACACACAATCTAGTGGTAGTCGACCAACCACATGGTCAAGCAAACAAACGCCAACTGCCACTGAAAGTAGAGGTCCTGGTACACGACCAACCAAGCCAGTAACTGAAATATACAATTCCAGAATTAAATTGGCTGTTGTCAATACTAGTAATAATGCATCAAGTACCTCAAAGGCAACAAGAACACCCAGTACTGGAACTTCTAGAGAACACACACAATCTAGTGGTAGTCGACCTACCACATGGTCAAGCAAACAAACGCCAACTGCCACAGAAAGTAGACGTCCTGGTACACCACCAACCAAGCCTGTAACTGAAACATCGACTTCCAAGTCTAAGACACATTCTGCCAGTACAAGAGAGAATACATCAAGTACCTCAAAGGCAACAAGAACACCCAGTACTGGAACTTCCAGTGAACACACACAATCTAGTGGTAGTCGACCAACCACATGGTCAAGCAAACAAACGCCAACTTCCACTGAAAGTAGAGGTTCGGGTACACCAGCAACCAAGCCAGTAACTGAAACATCGACTTCCAAGTCTAAGACACATTCTGTTAGTACAAGAGAGAATACATCAAGTACTTCAAAGGCAACAAGAACACCCAGTACTGGAACTTCCAGAGAACACACACAATCTAGTGGTAGTCGGCCAACCACATGGTCAAGCAAACAAACGCCATCTGCCACTGAAAGTAGAGGTCCTGGTACACGCCCAACCAAGCCAGTAACTGAAACATCGACTTCCAAGTCTAAGACACATTCTACCAGTACAAGAGAGAATACATCAAGTACTTCAAAGGCAACAAGAACACCCAGTACTGGAACTTCCAGAGAACACACACAATCTAGTGGTAGTCGGCCAACCACATGGTCAAGCAAACAAACGCCATCTGCCACTGAAAGTAGAGGTCCTGGTACACGCCCAACCAAGCCAGTAACTGAAACATCGACTTCCAAGTCTAAGACACATTCTACCAGTACAAGAGAGAATACATCAAGTACTTCAAAGGCAACAAGAACACCCAGTACTGGAACTTCCAGAGAACACACACAATCTAGTGGTAGTCGGCCAACCACATGGTCAAGCAAACAAACGCCATCTGCCACTGAAAGTAGAGGTCCTGGTACACGCCCAACCAAGCCAGTAACTGAAACATCGACTTCCAAGTCTAAGACACATTCTACCAGTACAAGAGAGAATACATCAAGTACTTCAAAGGCAACAAGAACACCCAGTACTGGAACTTCCAGAGAACACACACAATCTAGTGGTAGTCGGCCAACCACATGGTCAAGCAAACAAACGCCATCTGCCACTGAAAGTAGAGGTCCTGGTACACGCCCAACCAAGCCAGTAACTGAAACATCGACTTCCAAGTCTAAGACACATTCTACCAGTACAAGAGAGAATACATCAAGTACTTCAAAGGCAACAAGAACACCCAGTACTGGAACTTCCAGAGAACACACACAATCTAGTGGTAGTCGGCCAACCACATGGTCAAGCAAACAAACGCCATCTGCCACTGAAAGTAGAGGTCCTGGTACACGCCCAACCAAGCCAGTAACTGAAACATCGACTTCCAAGTCTAAGACACATTCTACCAGTACAAGAGAGAATACATCAAGTACTTCAAAGGCAACAAGAACACCCAGTACTGGAACTTCCAGAGAACACACACAATCTAGTGGTAGTCGGCCAACCACATGGTCAAGCAAACAAACGCCATCTGCCACTGAAAGTAGAGGTCCTGGTACACGCCCAACCAAGCCAGTAACTGAAACATCGACTTCCAAGTCTAAGACACATTCTACCAGTACAAGAGAGAATACATCAAGTACCTCAAAAGCAACAAGAACACCCAGTACTGGAACTTCCAGTGAACACACACAATCTAGTGGTACTCGACCAACCACATGGTCAAGCAAACAAACGCCAACTGCCACTGAAAGTAGAGGTCCTGGTACACGACCAACCAAGCCAGTAACTGAAACATCGACTTCCAAGTCTAAGACACATTCTACCAGTACAAGAGAGAATACATCAAGTACCTCAAAGGCAACAAGAACACCCAGTACTGGAACTTCCAGAGAACACACACAATCTAGTGGTAGTCGACCAACCACATGGTCAAGCAAACAAACGCCAACTGCCACTGAAAGTAGAGGTTCTGGTACACCACCAACCAAGCCAGTAACTGAAACATCGACTTCCAAGTCTAAGACACATTCTGCCAGTACAAGAGAGAATACATCAAGTACCTCAAAGGCAACAAGAACACCCAGTACTGGAACTTCCAGAGAACACACACAATCTAGTGGTAGTCGACCAACCACATGGTCAAGCAAACAAACGCCAACTGCCACTGAAAGTAGAGGTTCTGGTACACCACCAACCAAGCCAGTAACTGAAACATCGACTTCCAAGTCTAAGACACATTCTGCCAGTACAAGAGAGAATACATCAAGTACCTCAAAGGCAACAAGAACACCCAGTACTGGAACTTCCAGAGAACACACACAATCTAGTGGTAGTCGACCAACCACATGGTCAAGCAAACAAACGCCAACTGCCACTGAAAGTAGAGGTCCTGGTACACGACCAACAAAGCCAGTAACTGAAATATACAATTCCAGAATTAAATTGGCTGTTGTCAATACTAGTAATAATGCATCAAGTACCTCAAAGGCAACAAGAACACCCAGTACTGGAACTTCCAGAGAACACACACAATCTAGTGGTAGTCGACCAACCACATGGTCAAGCAAACAAACGCCAACTGCCACTGAAAGTAGAGGTCCTGGTACACGACCAACAAAGCCAGTAACTGAAACATCGACATCCAAGTCTAAGACACATTCTGCCAGTACAAGAGAGAATACATCAAGTACCTCAAAGGCAACAAGAACACCCAGTACTGGAACTTCCAGAGAACACACACAATCTAGTGGTAGTCGACCAACCACATGGTCAAGCAAACAAACGCCAACTGCCACTGAAAGTAGAGGTCCTGGTACACGACCAACAAAGCCAGTAACTGAAACATCGACATCCAAGTCTAAGACACATTCTGCCAGTACAAGAGAGAATACATCAAGTACCTCAAAGGCAACAAGAACACCCAGTACTGGAACTTCCAGAGAACACACACAATCTAGTGGTAGTCGACCAACCACATGGTCAAATGAACAAGCATCTGCCTCTCAGAATAGAGGTTCTTCTGTGACAGAAGGGGAACGTACGTTCTAAAAAGCGAGGTCTTAGCCGGCACGAAAATTACTTTACTACACCCAAAAATTCCAATTGAGCACCACATGCCCTAAGATAATATAACAGACTTTCGGCATCACCAAGCAATATAACAAATGTATGAACATATTCGCCACTTTCGCAGCACCACCTACGACAGCTACACGCCACCAATCACAACACACACGTAGTTTTTAAAATAGCGAACACCACACGACACGACACTCAATTTTCCTACAAGTAAGCTGAGACATTTCGCGCTCTATACACGTTTTCAAATACACAGTTTAATAGCAAGTTGTTGTGCCTTAACTATCAATCTACCGTGCACTACCTGAGCCCCCTATCCCGAGTAGATTCCTTAGATGGTCTGACTCAAAAAGAGGGACATATTACGTTTCACGACCAGCCTATTGCGATTCGTAACAACCAATACATCGAGTAACAGTGGTTCCAGTACATTGGAAAGCAAAGAAACAACCCTTGTTTTGCGGGAAGAGAATTCGTTCGCCTCAGAAGCAGAACAACCTACCGAAACATTGAGTTCTACATCTAAAATAGTTCTTGCTAATGAATGCGTTAATATGTCGAACAATGTGAATATTACAGTTGAAAAGAGTAATACTCTAAATAATAGCAAAAACTCTTCCGAAAATGCTGCGGAACCAGCTACTTCAAATGCTGACCCGTCCACAGTATTGGGTAGTGTTCTGATAGAGAGGTTCACTACAGAAGTTGATTTAACATCAAGTCCTACGTCAACGTCAAGTGATTCAAGTTCAGCTACAATCTCAGAAACTGGTGGTGTACAAATAAATCCCCTGACCTTAAACCCAAATCTAACTACAGTTGCTGAGGATGGAAAATCTGGAGATAAAGGAACGTATAATATATCTATTTCAGAAGTAATGTCTTCAGCCGAAACAACTGAAAGTTCTAATCTCGAATCTCCTGTATAACTGAATAAAATTTTATAAGGGAAACGAATAGCTGGCGAAACGAAAAATCTGGTGTTAAAGCAATGCAATGTAATACACGTTATAACCTATAATAAATTTAAAAAGAAGAGATCATTAAAAAGCTTAAAAGTAAAGAGCTTTTCATTCACTTATAACCAATTCATAAGAGAACAGTAATGCAAAGACAAAACCAAAAACGAAACTTCCTATGAATAAATCGAGTGTGTAAAATAATGTATTATAGAAATAAAACAACCGTATTACTAATATCACTTATCAGTAAATTATATTTTGTTTATTTGTAAAGCTTTCTAACCAGAATATAACTTCATGATGTAGTGTATTGTTGTTGAGTATTCAAGTAATATGTAAGTAACGCATATATTTTGAAAATTATTACTGAACAAATTTATTATTATGTTAAAATTGGTAATGTAATTAATTAGGAGTATTATAATGTAATTGATATTGTCATAAATAATGTTCCTACTTAACAATTAATACTTTTTATATTGTTTATATATTATCCCTCTACAAAATGTGGAATTCAGAAAAATATATCAACT